CCAGGATGCAAATTCAGCAGACTGACTGCTTGCACAAATATGGTGCTGCTGTATTATAGCCCATTTACAGCATGTTAACACAGCAACAATTTATTTTTATCTCTAACAATCAACTTGAAGCATTTACGATTTGGCAAATGAGGGAAAATTCTGTGTGAATGTGTTGCAGACTGTAAAAAAAAAAGGAGCTATTACTTTTCTTATCAACTTCACTACTTGATCTTCAGCCAGTAGCCTTCCAACTCTCTAAATATAACTGTACTAAAGGGTCTACTTTTTTAGAAAGGACTTTATGATATTTGTCACGAATAACACAGTGTGTTAATGTACTTTAGTGGCGTTTACTAATGACATTTAACCTGTGGAAAGGAAAAAGGAAAAATGGGCAGTTCATACTCTCTTCTACTTCTCTTGCTAACACACACACACACACACACACACACACACACACACACACTCACACACACCCACACACACACACACACACACACACACACACACACACTATTTCAAATAACCCTGACTCTGTAATTAGTACAAGGAGGTTTGAATACATTGAGATAACATTACATTTATTTGCTCAGTACAGATACACGACATGTACATCTTATAGGACATGTGGAGGTTTGTCACCTATAAAGCATCATCAAGTGAAAAGTGTCTTATTGGTCACAGAGATACACTTTTCAATGAAAGCAAAATTAAACATGTCTGATCATTTACAATATCCCAACATTCTCAATCTATAAAAGCAGCCATCTTACAAAAACCTTGATGCAAATTCACCACGCTTGACGTATGAAATATGACATTATCTAACATGGTAATGGCTTCATTTTCTCAATCAGAAACTTACAAAGGCCCCATTGTTAACTGTGAGTAATTTTCAGCATTCAGTGTGGGCAGAAATGAATGCAGAATCATAATTCCTGGATCTTTTGGAAAGTTTCCAGACCAAGGTTTTGTTACAGTGGTCAGTCTCATCTTAATGTGGTAATAATCTGTTACTCACAACGGCTGGGTCATGAGTCGACCATTATTGGGGTCTGGTGTGGTCTATTCTGAGCCTTACGAAAACACAAAGAAGAAAATCAAATACAGATTAAAAGACAGATAAGAAAATACCACTGCATGGGAATGTGTGTATGTGTGTGTTAAAGTGCACTATTAGAGTGAGGTTGTACGAAACAATAGGCAACCTGTGCTGAGATGGTGTAAAACTATTTTGTTGTTGATTACAAAACATTTTTTCTCAACTTAGAGAACAATATGTTCATGATAAAAATTCTTCTGTTATTCTAAATAAGGCTCCAATTACACCTATCAGTCTCATGTGTTTTGTAAAATACAAAACACATGAAACACATAAAACTGGTAATCCAGATACAATTTATTCACTTTTGTTTACCCTGAGTCACAATCACAGAATGTGACTTGTTCTCTGCTTGTTCCCAAGACATACACATCTGGTTAGTCCCTGTCCAGAGAGTGGAGATGCACCTAAGCTGTTCGGAAACCGTATAATAAGAAGAAGATGACAAAGCAGCAGCCACCCACTAATGTTTCTGGAAAATTTTAAAGAGATTAAAATGTAGTAAAATTAAGAATAGTATGACTCATGCACTCATTGCATATTGTTTTTACTCTTTTAGACCCACATATCAATTTAACTATCTGCAGATGGCCTTCACGTGTTTTACTGATTATAACTGATAAAATGTTTTTGTAATATGCACTCGTTAATTAATGTACACTGACAGTTATTTTTCTCTTTCATAGCAGAAGCCTGTTTTAAACCTGCAAATGGCTTCCTAGCCCAGTCCGAGTGCTCATACAACCTCTTCTCTCTAATCCTACCCAACATGGCTGCGTACCTCGAGACAGCCACTACCAGAGTGTCATTCCCTTGAGAACGTGAGAGGCAATTGTTTTCCCACAGGAAGAGGGGAATGTGTGTGTGTGTTGGAAATGTGTCGGTTGTGTGTGTGTGTGTGTGTGTGTGTGTGTGTGTGTGTGTGTGTGTGTGTGTGTGTGTGTGTGTGTGTGTGTGTGTGTGTGAATGCTAATGTGAGCAAGTTTTGGCATAATAACTTTGACCTAAATCTCACACATTTCTGTGGAATTGTACCATTAACTGCTGTAGGAAATAATATCTTTTTAGGGGGGAACTTTTACCTCAAATTCAAAGTTTTCAATCTTTCAAATTGTAAAAAAACAGTCGAGACACTTTAACAGAAACTGTCCAAGTAAAATAAAACGCATCTTCATAAAGACACAACTTCAACCATTTCAATAGGTAAGCATGCTGCTAAACCTGCTTAGAGTCCGCAACATGTATCACTTCACAAGAAACTAGACAAAACAAAGTCATTTTACAAAAATAAATTTGTGTAGTTTGACAATTAGACATTCAATATGCCACTTCTGTACACGCCATTTCTGAACAAAAGAAGGTACAAATAGGAAAGATTACAATATTTGGCAATGCTTCACAGATGACAGCCAAACTATTTAAAAGACAACATGTGAATCTAACTACCGCCACTGTACATCATACGCACACACACTCACGAAATACAGTATACTCAAGGGAGGTGAGGTGCAGCTAATAAAGCAATGAAAGGTGATAACTATGTTAGCACCCCTTGCTAGAACACCTTCAACAGTCCAATTCAGCCATTGGTCAAATCCTAACACGCCTGCACACACACTCATACACCGACAAACAAATAGATGCAAAAAAACAAAAACAAAAAAAAACAGTTTTGAGTCATGTGTTTGCTCCTGGTCATTTTCAGTTTTGCACACGAGAGGAGCAGTAAGTAAAAATTATGAACTTTTGAAGAACAGCTGAATTAACAGTCACATTTTTTAAATGACTTTACACAGCAAATGTGGTTCAGGTTATTGTTTACTGAATGTGGAATTAAGTGACAGAGGCTGGCTAATGAACATTTTCCTCTGTGCACATGCATACACTTGCCAGTCTGTGTCATTCTCTCTAAAAACAGCTGCATGTCAATAAATTGAGCCCTCCCTGGCTGTTACAGGAAAACACTTTCCCAACAGTTCATTTTCATTTTTATGTCAAGGCAACAACAATATATCACCATATACTGAGAAACACTCGTATTCATGCACACAAGGCATCACTGAGCCAAAACAGTGCAGTGAACCTACACAAACTTTGTGTAAAACCCACTTGCTAAATATATTAGATATCTAGAAAAAATATCATAATCCGAGAATATCTGCTCAATTTTCTTTGGTAGATTAGATAAGGTATATAAAGCTAGAATATCTGCACCTAAAGAAACTGTGAAATGAGTTTCCATGGTTCAAAATAGAGATCATTTTTCACAACTTTTGACTTTTTGACACAGTATGTACACTTGGCTTCATTTCATCTTACTATTGGTCTCGATTAGTTTGTATTAAATATTAAGTTAGAGTGAAAAGTGATCACAAAGCAACACATGGGAACAAGATGATGGAAAAGACACATGCATGCACATAGATGCAAACACACACACGCGCTCACACACGCGCACACACACACACGCATACACACAGACACATACACACATGCATCTGCAAGTTTTTTTGAAGGGGTCAGTCCCTCTTCATGGTGTTGCACAGAGGTTAACCTGCTGGCAGAGTGAATGGGCTATTTTTTCTGTTCTGTTGTGTTCATGTGTGCGTTTGCATGTGTGCGCATGCACTAGTCCGGGAGTGCAGGCACAATAATGCAGTATAACAATACAGAATACACTTAGGTAAGGTAATTATTTGCAAGAATATGTAAATGTGATATTTCCACAATTACACTTTTACGGCTTCTCATTAGATTGTTCATCTCAGTCACTTCTAAAGACAAAGGGGTAAGGATCACAGTTCAAGAGTCATTCATCTACACTTAACATTTTTACCTTCGGGCAAAAACCTTTTAAAAAAATTAAAATCAGCCCAATAATGTACCAAAAATCAGTGTATAATGAGTGTAAAAATATATGCTTTCCTGGTTAAGATACATAATCCAAACAACAAAGGTGCAATGAAACTGACAAAGATTCTAAAAAATTCATTGGAAAAGAAATTCAGTGAAAATTACGTTTGATTTTTGTCAGTTTAACAGTCGTACACCAAAGCTGGGTAGCATCCTAGCCTAACAACTTAGGTAAAGACATAATGTTTTATCTTGTATGATAAACATCAATAAATAATCTAAAATTCATACTCCATGAACAGAAGGAGAGAAATCAGTTGGATCAATGCAAACAAACTCTGAAATGGCATGGGTACTGGGTCTAGACCCAGCTCATTTCTTCCCATTTTCTTTCTTTCTTTTTCACTTTCAGCATGTAAATAATGAGGGGATAAGAGCACATAAAAACATGTTTAAACAGCTTGCCATTGGCAGTTCACCTCAGCGCTACGTTACTACAGCACAGTAGTCAACTGTTCCATTTGCATTTATTTTCTTCTTTTTTTTTTTGCATTCAACACATACTGTGCTGATAATATGGCAACAAACAAAGGTCGCAGCACATACTCCACAAACAGCTTTTCAGAACAGTTTTGTTGTTTTGGCAAAATAAGTTAAGAAAGAAGAAAACTAATAGATAACGTCGACAGAGTTCACTTCTCCAGGATTTTCAGACACCTTTTTTCCTCCTTTCCAGCCCTTCTCATCTGTCACCCCTGTCCACGCACAGTATGCTGGGCTTCTTTGACCATTTTGAAAAGCTTTATGGGCTATTTGGGCCTTTCAATCCTTCAGTGCTTTGCTCTTGACTCCCTTCCTCTGTCTTTGCCAGCTGTGGCGTATGCAGAGAGGATGCCTGTGTAACCTCCAAACGCGACAGAAACAGCAGTGGCAGATCAACGCCTCCTTCCATCTCTTTACAGCACATTTCAGCTTAACAGAGGAGACATTTTACAGCAATCACATCAGGCATCTTTTAAAAAGTTCAAATGCCATTTTGGCAATAGGGTTTGCATTACACATGACATGTTGTGCCAATGCCTATTTCCCGATGGCCATATCCATACCCTGGCCCTGCACAACCCTTTTCAACAGAGCCAACGAAAGCTTTTTTGGTGTTCCTAACCCCAAAGCCACTGCCACTGCGCTGTAAACAGAAGGAGCAGAGGCGTTTGAGGCCCTTCCTGAAGGCAGAGTTGGAGAGGCTGTAGATGAGACAGTTACAGAAGCTGTTGCTGATGGCCAGCCATGTTGTGAGGAACGAGGCTGCAGGGTGGTGGTAGATCCCTCCGCTCTCCAACAGAAAGTAGAGAATGTAGGGCAACCAGAGGATATAAAACACGCTGGTAATGCGGAACAATACCATAGCGTATCGCTTGTCTGGGTATGTTGATGTAGGCTGCTGATACTGTGGTTGGTGGTGTTGGGGTTTCTGGGGCTGGGACAAATGGGGCAACTGCCCTTGTTCTGCTGCACTGTTGTCCTTGACCATAGGTCCCACTGTCAATCCTGGGCCCTGCAGTTGTTGAGGTCGGTAACGTGCGTGGCGCTCGCTGATCTCCTTGGTGTGCTGTCGGCAGATCTTGAAGATATTGGCGTAGGTAAAGCAGACAGTGAGAGCAGCTGGGGCGTAGAGCAGTGCAACAATAAAGGTTGTGAACGCCGGACTAGTCCTCCACTCAAGTGCGCACCACTCCACCACATCGCCGTGGTAACCTGGTTTCCCCCACCCGAGAAAAGCCGGGAGAAACACCAGAGCAGAGTACAACCATATTAGAACGATGCAGCAGCGCACACGACAAGGCGTTACCAGGGACGCGTAAGTCAGAGGTCGTGTGATGGCAATGTAGCGGTCTACACTTACGCATGCTAATGACGCCATTGAAACAGACTTTAAAACAGACACCATGTACCCGAACACCTGGCAGGTGAGTTTGGGGTCGAGGCCCTGCAGGTGATGGAGGAGGGACAGGGAGGGGAACAGGCAGCTGACCCCCACCAGCAGATCAGCATACGCCATAGTCTGGATGAAAGCACTGGTGGTGTGCTGGCTAAGCAAGGGCGCACAGTGAAACACAAAAATCACCACCAGGTTACCGGAAATAATGAGAACAGTGAGGAGCAGTATGACAGAGACTTCAAGGAGGCAGGTGCTGAAAATTTGCGAATAGCCTATCTCAAGCAGGCAGAAGGGAGCAGATATGTTTGATGGGTCAGCAGAGCTCTGGTTCAGTGGATCCAGGGAGGAATTCATCATCTTGGGCAGGAATATGTGTCTGAGGGGCCCTTCAAGGGTACGATGAACCAAAGAACCCACTATTTTGTCAGGTAGCCGGCTGGTTCTGACAGTAGCCGTACGGTTTCAGTCCGAACGAAAAGCTCCACGCTGCGGTTTCATGATGAGACTGCTGCCATCTGCCATTTCAAATGCAGGAGGGATGGAAAGGACAGAGAAAGGTGAGGAAGCTCCCTTGTTTTGTCCTCAGTGCAGGCAGTTGTGGTTTTACACGAAGATATAAAACCACCAGGTAAAAACAGATTACCACACAAAGAGAAATATGCGTGTTTCTTGTCTTCTTTTTTTTCCCAGTAAAGCAAACTTCCCAGCTGAAGGCACAAAAAGGAAAAAATAGAAAGAAATGTGACTTTGTTTAAAGGAATTCCGGTCCAATCTATGCTTGAAATGCCTCCGCTCCCTATAAAGTCAGAGATGTCTTCAACATCTGCTGCAGCTGCAGAGAGCACAGACTGAAGCTGCCTTTTATCTGTCTATAGTCCACAGAGTCACAAACACAGCTTCCAGTGAAAAGACATTATTGTGTAATGCGCTGCGTACATAAATTGAGGGAAGGAGACATTAAGCATGATTTCGGCTTTTAATTCTGTCCTGCAACTCCACCTCTGTCCTGCTTCTTTTTTCCTGATTCTTCTTTCTTGCTGCCCCTTTACCCTCTCCTCACCACTCTTCCATGTCCGCTTGCTCTTGTCTCAGTTTCTGTCTGGTCCTTCGCAGTAAGATCACAGCAGGCTGCTGTGAAACGATGAAGGCAGTGCGCGGGCTGACTGATGTTTAAAAGACATACACACACATACAAACACACCTCAGCTGTTATTTCTATCCAGAAGAGCAGCAACTATGTCTCGAGTGGAAATGAGGTAGGCAGGCATACCGATGCTGGGAGAACCCCCCCGTGTTCATTTATCCTCCTTTGCTGTCTCTCTCTCTCTTTCTCGCTCCCTCTGCCTCTCTCTCTACAGAAACAGTGGCACTGTGGCCCCTCCCCTTCCCTGTGGCTCCAACCAATGATCAAAAGCAAGGGCATGAAGCTGCCTCCTTCCCCCACACTCTCACTCCTCCCTCTTTTTTTTTTTTTTCTTCATAATTACACAAGATTCAAAAATACAGTTTCACACTGTTAAAATTAGCAACTTTCAGTGTTAACTCAGGCCTTGTAAAACTGACTTTTGACTGTTCTCTGCAGACACAAAATCTGAGCTGTAAGAATCTAGACACAAAGTTATTGTATTTGTTAGTAGTGAAACAATAAGTGCAGTTTACAGGAAGTATTCCTATTAATAATCTGATTGTATACCAAGGACACACAGGGCAGGAGAGCGGGTCCCCCTACAGCTTTGTGCATCCATGTTGAAACTAGTATACATACAGTATGTGCTTTAGGCTGTACAGAGGTTTCATCAGCCTTTATGTGTGTGGGTTTAAATTTGTTTCTATATATAAAAAGCGTGGTGACAGGGAAGAACTTTGCTAGACTGTCAAAAATGCTGCTATTTAGAAAATACTCTTTATTTCCTAGTAAAAAAAAATCCATTTAGTTGGATGTGCTATATTTTCTCTAGTTTACAAAGGAAGCCTTGACTGCACTGTTTTTTCATGTTGGTACTCTTAAAAAAAAAAAAAAAAAAAAAAAAAAAAAAAAGTTTAGTCATCTTTATGTTTGCAATCTACTAATAATAAAGTGCTGCAACATTAAGGCTTAAGAGACTGAGAGATAGATTTAAATATATGAAAGCACAGCGCAAATAATTTAATTTGCGCCCACAGCCTGTGTGTAATTTGCAGCTGATTCGCTAACGCAGCAAGTAATTATGAAATTAGCAACTGGGTCTGCCTTCCAGGTGCAAACTGCAAGTAAAGGAGAGCTTGAAGGGTGCAATTCAGTTGTGTAACTAAAACCTAGGAGATGATGACCGGAGCATCATGTGGAAATATCATGATCAAAACTCTTCTAACTATAGCAGGAAAGTCATGATGGTAACCTTAACAATAACAATAATTATACCATTCATAAAACATGAATGCGTTTGTGAAATAACATTCAAACATGTCCACATGCTCACTCACGTAAATCACAATCATGACTTACTTTCCCCCAGGGTCTTTTTTAGAAGTGTTTTTTGTTTTGTTATTTTGCTTTGTTTCCTGTTTAACATAGTGGTCACTACTTAATTTCTCATTAATGTAATAGCCCAAACTGTAAGCACAGTACAAGCAAGACTTTAACATTTTCAGATTGTACTTACACTTACACTGCAGAATGTTTGCATTTGAACTGCAACTTTGTACATGTCCTTCTGTCTATTTGGCCTGAGAGCTCTAAACAGATATGCACCTGCTCCTGATTTTGCATGCATCAGCAGACGCAGCACCTCCACTTCGCATGAGAGTTGCTTTGATACACTCAGCTGTACCCAGGTAGGCATGACCTCACCAGACATTTTTTAATCTCCCTCCCAGCAATGTCAACAGCCAGGTTTTTATTGCACGGCTCTAAAGGTCTGGTTAGGACTCAGTTGAACACTTTTTTATTTCATTGTCTTAAATAAGCCCTGGCTTTTCTGTAAAGAGCCAACTGAATTTGAATACTTACTGAGTTATTTTTAGATCATATGATGTGTTGACTACATTTAATTACTCAGAATCCTGTACTAAAATTAGAAACTTGAGTGGGTCGTAATCATCAGATTTAGTGCTGCATGCTCTACATCCTCATCTGCAGAGTTTGTCTCGTGCAGGGCAATTTAGTGTAGCGTGATGGAGACCAAAACATACCCACACAGCCACACATACACACACACACACCTTTCCGCAATCCAGACACACTCCCATGCTTTCACGCACCTCCTCTGCCCACCACACGAGGAGCTAAAAATAGATGACAGTACGATGAAAAGGGCTGGAAGAAGAAGAGGAACGGGAGAAAAGGATGAGGAAGGGAGTCAAAGGAAACACAGCGCTCATCACAGACGAGAGGAGGAAGAGGTGGAGGAGAGAGAGACACACAAGATAGCAAGAACAAAACAGTAAGAAGACAAGAGAGCTGTGAAAACAGGGAAGAAGGAAGAGCGTGATGTACCGTCACCTGGTTGCCAAGCTGAGCACAACACAGTCCTGTTAGCTGTCTGACTTATGCTTCCTCCCAGGTTGGCAACCTCTCTAGGACAGGCCTCAAGTAACTGACACACACCTGGCAACAACACAACGGCCCTAAACTCTGGCAGATATATATATATATATGGCATATTATAATGGAAAGATAAGAGCTGATGCTTACAATTATTACTGATTAAGAGCTTATTACTGTTCATCTCATTGTGTCAAATCATAATATTGTTTAACATCAAGATTTTACTGACGCTACTGTACTTATTGTTAGGTTAGAATGCAATTAATGCTTAATATAACCTGTGATTAATCTGTAGAACATTGGCAAAATATTTTGTATTTTTACTTAAAAAAAATAAAAGATTACCAAAATTGGAATAGATTTTCTGTTGACAAACTAACCCAATCACTATTAAAACAATAAGAAAGTTCACTTGTAACTGCAACACTGGCTGACTCTCATCTGATTATTACAAATACCCACCATCCACCACTGCTCAGCTGGTGGCTCATAATCCTGATAATTCTGTTCTGTTTCTATATAAATATAAAAATAAGCAGTCACTAGGTTCCAACTTTTGTATCAACGTGATCTTACAAAAACATAAAAATAACTGGTCAGCTGATGCCCTATTTGGGGTTTCTACTGATCACAGAAATGCCTGGTAGGAAAGGAAATTAAAGGAATTTCAAAGAACTGGGAATACACTACCATTTATATGTGTGATGTTTATCAGTTTATCTCTGTATGATGTGCCTACAGGCAAAGGCAAAGGTGGTGACACTTGTTACATAGTCACAGACAGACACAAACACGTTACTGTAGGAAGATGATACACAATTCCACGAAATGAAGACTGCTCTCATTCAAAAAAATAAATCTAAAATTCTTTGATCTGCCTGTCTGAACCTTCTGGCTTTCTCTGTGTATTTTTTGATATGGGAAACTGGCTTCAAAGCCGGATAAAGCATATCTGAAAGTATTTCCATTTCTGCCCAGCAGAAATCTGAGAAGCAACGCACACATAAACCTATGGAACAGAGAGGCAGGCAGGCATACAGTCATACAGAAAAGGAAAGAAGTAGACACACTTGGCTGCTTAAACAGCAGGAGAGGAGAGAGGAAAAGGCATGCAGTATGAGTGTGACAAAACACAAATGAGCAGGCAGACAGAAAGGGACAGGAAGACACACGAGTTGACAGGAGCACAAACAGGTCTAGGTAGAAGTCAGAGAGAGTCAGAGTCAGGCGTACACAAATACAAATGAATATAAAGACAGACAGAAAGACAAAGGGGCCGGCAGACAGGTCATTATGTGGGTCAGACAGAGACAGGCAGGCAGACAGGTAGTTATGAGGGCTTGTTTTTGCTCTCCGCAGGAGCCTGGCACAGCAGGTCTGGGGACCGGGCCAGTGTTTATCTGGTCACTTTGTGTCTATGCTACATGAATGTCTGCATGTATGCTCATGTATACACACCGTAAGAGATTTTTAACATCATGCCCCCCGTATGTAAGTAAAGGGAGGTTGAGACAGCTTTCAATATAAAAAAGCAAACCAATATTACACACCACCATTAACAACCACACACGCACAAGCCAACTACAACCTCAAAAATCATCATCCAGTTAAAAGATCGCCTCTTGACACTGTGTCAACAAAACTGAACATTATGAGTTTCATGCCACTGTACAGCTATACCTGATAAGCTGGCAATTCTATGATTTACAGTAAAACAAGAAAATACACAGAACAACATTTTACTTAATCGTAAATGTGCCCGCACTGTGCATGTCCACCTATCAGATCACAGTGGTTCCCAGCCACCAGGCCTCTGAACATTTGCTAGTGGGCCAGGAGAAAACAACATGATTCGGCAAAAAAAAAAAAAAAAGAAAAAAGAAAAATAACTACATCATAATTCCATTACTTTATAGACATTGTTATTTGCTTGAAGTTGGCGCTCCATGTCACTCCCAAATAGCTAACACGACAAAAATCATGTTAGCTATTTGCAACTCTAGACTCTCAAGCTCTCTCGAGCTTGAATGTTTTTTTTCAAGGTGGTAGCCCGAACATATAAAACACACTTTTTAATACTACAATATTCATAGCTCAATATCATTTCAATTACTACCAGACTACTGTTTATAGCATAAAATTACATTCATACACCATGTCAATGTCTTTGATGGCTGAGCAACACTTAACTGGAACACGAAGAGTAAGATTATGCTGATAAATATGTGTCATGCTGTGATATGGTCACAATGTTACAGCCCCTCAGCACAATAGCAAAGTGTCGCTTGCCAATATGTGACGCTGTCTTTCGTAACATCTTCCTGATTAAAATCAGCTGGCACTGGACCAGTGTGCTGCCAAAACCAATTACAGGGGAAACCGTGTGTAGTGATCATGGTTACAGTGATGGATCAAAAAGCTTGGAACAGAATCATTCCTATATAAATGCTGTTTAAATAATTCACTTATATACTTACAGTGCTTATTTTGGGTCTTTTCATACATGACAACGTATGGGTAAAAAAAGTAAAACTGTTGTAGCCTGCTACTGTCGTCATATGCCTAGGCTCTCTTCTAAATTATTTGTAAAAGGTTTTTGGACTGCCACAGTGTTACCCAACCGCTAACGCTCAAGATCCCAACATAATTTCATTGTGCGAGGGTGTGTGTACGTGCGCTTGCTGTATGCACTTGTGCACCATGTGGTATGTTCTCTAGCCTCTACTCACTGTAATCTATGGAGCTAATGTAAAATGTGGGCCATGGCTATAACAGATTAATGAGTTTATTGGTTACTGGTGGAGTGTTAATTAGTCAGCATTTGAAATTAGACTGGTACTTCCAGTACTTGGCAGCAGGGATTGGGGCTCCAAAGGGAAGGCACAGGTTAAATATCTCAGACGTACAGCCCTGTTTCCACTTCCATCAATGCCCTGCATTCAGATATGGATGAACACCAAGTTCAGACGGGGTTAGGGCACAAAGAGAGCAGCGGCTAGGACATCATGTGCATACATCGGAAAACAGCACAAAGAGACACACACAAGCAGGCTGAATACAGAAAGTACACAAAACAAATTAGGAGCTGGTACATGAGCATGGTATGTACAAATTTTAAAACAGCAGCTGAAAAGGGAGGAAGATTGAATTTGTACAAGATAATATTTAATTATTACCAATAACAATAGCAACATGAATGTGAATGAAAATTATTTCCTAATTTATAATATGGAGAGCACCGTTATCCATTACATTTCAATACTCTTTCAACATTTTAGTTCTTTCAAGATCTTCTGCGTCTTAGGTCTAATTAGGTTTTTTTTTTTTTTTTAATCAATACTACTGTACTTACTACTTGTGAAATAAAATAAAAACTCATAAATTGCCTGTCAGAGTCAGATATTGCTGCACGTGTTCTCCACACTTTTCTCTGTGTGTTTGTTGGCTGACGTACAATCCTGGAATGCTTTAGTGCTTCTGCAATAAATTCCTATCCAACTCTGAGTCCAGTGGCTATCAATACAGTGGCGTTCTGATCCATTGTTATTGTTGTCTGAGTGAAAGTTGAGATTCCATTCATACCATTCATGTTAACGGAAAAACAGCTTGGCTCCTACATTATTTTGGTGTAAAACTTAAGTTTGAGTAGACACTTTTTTATTTTAAGCAAAAGCAAAACAGTACACAGCATACAGGTAAATGGCAGTGAGAGCATGAATAAAGAATAAGTGTAAAGGCAGAGATAGAAAAAGAGCAAAGGAGGAAGGGAAATGTGGCCAGGGACAGTGAGGAAAAAGAGAGTGCAGGAGGAGAACAGAGGGGTAGGAAAGGGCAAGACCAACATCTTGTCACCACCTGGGACCCAGCTTGCTGCCCGGGGATGTTGCCTTTACATAAGAACAGTGGACAGAGCTGTGGCCATGAATAAAATTACATAGACTAACACACTGTTCTCAGTGCACAGGGTGGCTAACCATCTACAGCAGGGCTAAGTCACCTCCGATCCTCAAACACATGTCCACACAGACAGAATTATGCAAGCACAGTGTAATTCTCTACCAAACTGAAACTAAAAAGCTACCTGTCATTTCTGAACACACATACAGACACAGGTTTGTAGGAAAGAGGTACTTAGGCTAAGGCAATGACAAGACGAAGCAGCTAAGACGAACCTCATGTTAAAAATACCCCAATTGAAATCATCATAATTGAATAATAATAATTAAATTATCCTTTCTGATCACAGACCAACCATTGTATGTAACCAGCTTAATACAGGCATGATGCTCTTTGGACTTACTGCGGCACTGCACAGCACTGACTTAACATCGCCCGCAATATTTTCATAAAACATTATTTAGATTTAATATTATGTGTCAAAACACTCATTTAAACTTGTGTGTGGCCTGAAAATGTCTTAGGATTTTTGGGCAAGTAAACGGTGTGTATAGGTTTTGAGAAGCAGTCTGACATATTGAGGGTAACATTCATATTTCTGAAATTAAAAAAACAAAAAACAAAGAACAGCTGCAAACGCTGCGAGACCAGCCATTGTTGTGAGCTCACTCATGTGTCCGACATGACGGCGGTCTTTTTATACTTTATACAACCCTGCAGACACCTGCAGCTCACGTTGACCATAAAGTCAGCCGAACTCAGTCAAAACACAATTCATTTTCATATTTTGTTCCTCCTTTTATGAGCTGGGTTGGTTTGAATTACAAAATCACAAAATCATAATGAGTTATTAGAAAAACTTAACGATTATTCCTTTTAACAGAACCATTAGAAGCTGAAATTATTTCCTTTTTGAAGAAAGTGTACAAGCCTTTCACTTACATAATGCCTTAACTACTAAGCTGACATGATCTACAGGGCAGCGGTGGTTGCCATCACAAGTCTGGAGCACATGAGAGGGAAACTTATGAAACAGTAGCCCCTGAGGTGTACTTCCAAAGAAGTAAAACTTAACCAAAACTGTTGCCAAGGACATTAACAGCAACACATAGGCACTGGCCAGCAGAAAACAAAAACAATGAAGAAGTTACACCCGTGAACTGAATTTGTTTCAGTTAAAGAGATCAAACTATAACCAAGTGTAAAAACAGAAAGAACAAAACTGTTGGAGGTAAAAAAAAAGTCTATCTCAGTAATGGCTTCAGCGTGGACAAAGATTTAGAAATCATCAGAGGTGATGTGGACAGCTTGCTGATGCATCCTAAAATTAAGGGCTTGAGTCATCCCGTTGGAGGTCAGCCTTTCCAATCACTACATCACCTGCATTACGGGATCATGGGGATTTGGTGTGTCCTGATCATCTTAACAAAGACCATAGTTTTGTGCGGTCTTACCTTTGTTATAAGAGTGCGGTATTCCTCTACCTGGTGGTCATTGTTATGGCAGCCTGCCAGGAGCTGCCACACCTCCCCACGAAGAGCCTCAGGAATGCCACTCCGCACCAAGGCTGGCAGCTGCCTTGGACGTACTGATAGGTTCATATGCCTGGGAGAGGAGAGGAGAGGAGAGGAGAGGAGATGAGAAGAGAGGAGAGTCAGGCATTGCATTTTATCAAAGACATACTAATTTTAACTTTATTCAATGTGGCTTATCCAATAAATCTTCAAAGTATGGAACACTGCTGACACCCTCATTACATGCAATTGTGCAGCTGCAATCTTCAGCGCACACCTGTCTACAGCATCTACCCAAAACAATGTTTTCATTGGCCCGAGGTTGTGTCTAAAAAGGTTTATTATCAGCTTTATAGATGGTCTGGGACAGAATCATGACAATGAGGAGGCGTTAAATCACCTCATACCAAAAATATAATGATTTACATACATAGCAGTCTTTCAAAAGTTCCAGCCGTGCCTCCCACAAGGAATACAATCAATCAAGGACTCAAAGGTCACAGTTTCAAAATGTACAATATGTTCTAAGTTTGTACAGAAAATACATGATAAGTACTTAATCTAACCAAAATATTCCTTTTCACCTTTTCCCCTGACATTAGTATTACTTATTTTACCCCTGCTTTATTTTTAGCAGGATGGGAAAACAATAGACAATACAAGACAATAACCCAATACAAAATTACAGCAACAATACACAGAAACCTGTCAATTCCTTCTCCTCCTCCTTCCTCATCTTCACATTTAAATGTTTAGTCATCCTCATACTGTATGCAGTGTTATAAATATAATAAACTCCTGCCAACCAAGTAGTAAGTGACAAAGACAGAATTAGAGATACAGAGAGACGGAGAAGGTAAAATTGGAGGCACAGCTGTATCTACCAACTATCGCCTGCCTGGCGCCGACAGAAAACCCCTGAATCCCTGATGATTCTCTCACTTTTTTCCCCCCTTTCTTAATTCATCCCTCTCTATTTTGTTTTGTTTATTTGTTCCGACCGTCAGGTTATGCAATATGTGGCATTTTCTGCAGAGACTAAGAGGGGAAACAAAAGTATACTGTGCATGTGTGCGTGCATGCATGTGTGAGTGCATGTGACGTAAGTAATGCCAGGCCTGGTCCTTAGGGGCATAAGATTGTAAAGGGCTTTCTGTGATTTGCCTCTCTGTGCTCCCTGAGCGCTACATCCCACAATGCCACAACACATGCTCTCATGCTGACACACACACAAAATCACCAATCACACACACAAAGCCGAGTATTATGACAGGCTAGTCTTATGATTCCGTTCTTTATTTAGGCAGTAATTTCATCAGAGAGGTGAGACAAATACCTCAAAAACATTCAGGGAGTATCAAAGGACATTATAAACACCCAAATCTAGTCAATAATGAAGAAAAAAAACAGATGTATTGTGATATACATATCTAAGGTAAAACATATTTTACTGTTCTCCTGAGAAACATACATGAGACGGAGAAAGAGAGAGGTATGCTGTGGAGTGTCTGTATGTATGGGGGGGCTTAACTTCCAGCTAATTAAAGTCCAAGCAGTTTCTATTCAGTTCATCACAAGCTTTTGATTAAAAACAAATGCAGTAATGGGAGAGGGAAGCCATCTTAATAAGCTGCTTATCAAGAACTCCTGCCTGCTGCTCTTTCTTTCACAATACACACAGTATATCCGCTAAAACCCCACACACAAAAATTAATTATTTGTGTGCGTGCGTGTACATGCTTGTGCACACTCTTTGCAACAGCGATAGAAGGAGGAAGGACAGAGTGAACAAGGGAACAAAGCCTTACCACTTGGATAACAAGTCTCCCCAGGTTTCCAGGATCTTCTCTGCACACTCCTTGGAAACATCACCTGATCCACTGAGTAACGGCTCATCATTATCTGAACACACAGGCGTACAAACACACAGAGTGTTGCCCTTTTAATACTCCAATGATTTACAATTCACCAGTGCTCATACATGTGTAATGAAAACGATTAAATAAATGTGAGAACTTAAAACATGGATGTTTCCTAATCTCCAGAGATCGGTGCTTTTTATAGCCAAACTTTCTGCTCACTGGTGTTATCGAGGTGGTGGACATACTGTATGTGCTCCACTGGTAGACAGTTTATATATTGTATCATAGGCTCTGGTTCCTCTGGTTTGATGTTGTGTCGTGTTGTATACTGTATAATCTGTTGTCTTGTATTTAAGGTTTAATCTGAACTGCATCTGAGCTGTGTACATGATCATACTGAACTTCATCTACACATCTCTAAATAAACGGTTTCATATGAGTTTTATAGTCTAAACAAATTGTTTGGTCTTTTATTCAAACTTTACATTGTATCAGCTGAAAAGACGGTACTATCTATGCCAAATGTGGTATCTAAATATTCACAAAATGCGTGGAGTAGTCAATGGACATGAAGTCCAAAAACTGAGACCAAACTGTACCAAAAGGCCAGTGGACCAAAGACTGACACATAGACTGATACAGAAAGTACCTCAATTATGCTGTCTGCCTTTTATTGTCTACTACTATCTCTCACATTCATACACACAAACACACACCCATGTGCGCGCACACACGCACACACACACGCACACACACACACACACACACACACACACACACACACACACACACACACACACACCAATGATAGCTAAGTACTTTGTGAGGATACAGTACAAACAGTTCTGTAACACAGTGTCTGATCTCCCATGAGATTTCGACTCCTTTGGACCACAAACCTATTTCTGGTACGGCCCCACAGGACACAGGAGTTTTACATTTTTAGGTAGAGTATCAGTGATTGAGTCAAAGCCTGAAAAAGCTTGAAGGTGCTGGAAGTTTGCAGCATAATTCAGCTGGTTGGTATGATTTTTTAATTTCAATGTGCTGCATAGTACTACTTTTATTGTTGTGTTGGAGGTGCTTGCTTCTAAATGTGGTCAGTCCTGACCAAGGACTCCACATTGGTTAAGTGTTCTTGAGTAAAAGCAAACTGCTTTAAAGCTGTTCATGCTTATGATCAAGTCCAACAAATGGTTCAGAAAGTAAGAACTGTCGGTTCTGCTAGTCAGCCTTCTTCTGTGGCTCAATGTGGTCATATTTGTGAGGAATATTTTCATATGGCTTATATAGAGAAATGATTGCTATTGCAATATCAGGATTATATTTTTATTAAAATATTTGCTATGTGTGACTTTAAAGAAGATGCCAGCAGAAGTGACGGAGCAAAAAATGAAAAATAGGACATGAAATCACCTTCCTCTTCATCATCCTCAGGTGGTGATGGAACCATGGTACCAGGCCCGGTGGGCAGGATGCCAGGACTGGCTGTGGTCTTCCGTTTCTCTCTCTCAGTCTCACTTTCCAAACTCACCACCTCATAAAGTGTGTCAGAGGCAGGACTCTTACGCTCCTTACGCTCCATCTGAAGAGAGAACGCACAAGGTAAACTACGGGAAAAAGTGTCAAGAGGTTTGTCCCAATCTCACAGTGTATTAACAAACTAAATGCTTTGCATTATTCCAGGTCACAGCTGAATATCTGGTGCAATTCACAGCGACCATCCCTTGAAGTGATTTAATCTTGGATGGAAAATTGTGCCATGAGTTGACATACCTGGCGTAGTTTAAGGTAGAAGGTCTCAGTGTAGCTACGCTTGCTGAAGGGCCAGAACAGCCTGTCATTTGGGGAGCACACTCTGACCCTCGTCTCCAGCAGAAAACGGACTGGCTCCTCCACCTCTGTAATCACCAGGTCCACTGCTGTCGTCATGTACATGAATTTATCTAGAAAAACAAGAAAACCAGCTAAATTGTCATCCCCATGAGTGCTTCACTTCTGTTAATCAAACCCATAAATGGGTGATTCATGAAAACACTGGACATTGTGTTTAAAGCTGGATGTGCGGTGTAGGAGTTACTGCATGTGGCATAAGGGTGGAACAAAGTCAGTGCCTGAATGTGCTCGTCTTTGTTTCATTACCAATTTTCCAGTAATATTCATGTGCAATCTGTTACAACATTGTACCTTCTGTGTTGTATGCAACATTATTTTACAGTACAGTTTCCATGCCTATTTACTGTTGCCATCATTTTACCATTAACTGCTCTTTCACAGCTTGATTTGAGGATTTACCAACCAGTGGAAAGTGATTTTAACACTTGGAAAGGTGTCAAATATTGGTGTGAAAATATGAGTAAATAAACAACTACCTATTCAGTAAAATATGAAGTAAGGAAATAATAACTGCTGAAAATCATTCTGTTGTATTAAGATTTTCGACAGATTTTTGGCTGGTACCTTTGGGCGTTTCCTCATTCACAGCCTGGAACTGAGGCGTGTTGGGGTTCCAGCTTCCTGTGATGATGTAAGACTTCCCGTCAGAGCTCTTTCCCATTGACTCCTGAACGGGCACAAGTCGGAGGAAGTTAGCAAAAACACACAGCACACAACCACACAGACAAAAATATGTAAACAGCCACCCACCAGGTCTAGCAGGTGCATATCGCTGTTCTTCACATTTTTCCCCGGGCTGAGCAGGAGTCCAAAACACCTGGAGACGCACAAACAAACAAATAAATGTGCATATAAAGACACATATATACAAAGGGAGGCCAGAGAGAGGGAGAGAGAAGTGAAATGAAAAGGATTACATAAGAAAAAGAAAAAAAAAAGAAAGAAAAGAAAAGCCCAAGAGCGGGAACTAGAGACAGAACAATAAATCTCTCTATAGAGTAAAACCAGTTGTTTAACCCCACATATGTTACTGCAAATAGCTTCCTGGACTGATCCTCTAACACAGACCAGGACATGGAGAATATTAAACACAGCAGTTCAATCCTCACCTTCTCAGGGTTCCTCAAACAATAACAAACCACCGTGAAAATGGAAGTTCGCAAAAAAAAGAAGTGATGGAATGTTTAAATTTCCACAGATTTATTAAAGCATGGAAAATGAGGAACCTCTGCAACAGACTGACATCAATCACTATCTTACAACTGTGCCAGAACACTTAAAACCTGACACGGGCCGATACACGGATGTAAAGATGTTCACCGGTGTGTGTTTATCAATTATAGCTGAGTGATTCCTTTCTTGTGAATGTCTGCTCATATTTGAAGTAAAACTGTAGCAAACAGGGCAATCTCTTTCAGTCCGACGAGACGCATGACAGATTTTTCCCTCTACAGGACAATTCCAAAGTGACAGAAATTTTAACTTATATCCTCCATTCCCTTGGTTGTTAACATTATTCTCTGTATTCTCTTGTCGTCATCACTGATTGGCTGTTATAAGACATGAAACAAAAAAAAAAATATCAACATTCAGTGCTCCTAAGGCAATTTACAATAATCTATTACCTTTGATGATACTGCTCTGTAGATGTTGTGTATGTGTGCATGAGTGTGTGAGTGTATGTGCTTTATTTTACCTCTCGATGGCTAGTTCCTTATTGGAGGTCTGCTGGACATAAATCACTATCTTCTTGTCCATTCCTGCACGCAGCTTGAAGCTCTGCTTGTCCTTGTCTTTTGCTACAGCGCTGAATATGAAAACACATGAAATACTATTAGAAAAGATTTACAGTTGCAAAAAGATCATCAATGGAAAAAACAGAGATGAATAAGACAAACGCATTTCTAGTTCATTTATGCCGCAGACAGAGTGATAAGTCTGAAACAACATTGTAAGGCAGATTTACCAACGTTTGAAGCGGAAACCTTATATCAGAAAATAACTCAATGACATTTTAAGTTTGACTTGACCACAGGCTGACTGGACAGGCTGTTTTATCTATATCTGTACTGAGAAGGAAATTAATAAATGAGTTTCTACTTTTGTTTACAAACTTTCACAAAGAATTAAAGCAAAGTGTTTCTTCTGTTGGACAACTACATCAGTGGAATTTATCACTAACCATCAATTAGTCAGGCAAATATGAAGACTGTGGTTCATGTTTAGAACTGCTCCATTTATCATGATAAAAGTGTGCGTAAGAGTCAAAACATGCTCTGGTCTTGGTTCTTTTCCTGCTATGAAAGCAGAGACGTTTGAAACAGGAAGAGTACTCAACATTCTCCAAACCCTCATTGACACGAATTCCTGAGGAAATACTCGAGAAAAGAGTCTTGAGGTTAAAAAAATAAAAATCCATAAATCAATTTGAAATCTACTGCAAACATTTGGAACTGGCTGTGATTTCAGACAATGTTCAGATCACAAAAACCTTTTTTCTTTTTTTTTTCTTCTTTTTTTTTTTTCCTTTTTGTGAGTAGTGATTTAATGTACCAGATAGAGCTTAGTGAACCAGACTGTCAGACCGAGTCATGGTTTTACACTCTAAATAGTTCCTATGACTATAGATAAACTGGCTTGTTTACACCTTTATAAAGGAAAATTATTTACATTTACAATATATTTCATTTACATATTATTTAGCAAATATTATATTGTGTCTTTATACAATTATATACAATATTCCATATCTTATCTTATTTGGACAAGGAAAATTTACTTACGCACAAAAATAGCATATGTGTGCTTGCATGTGAAAGCTGTTTGCTTGGAAGTCAGCAAACTAAAAATAATCAACCAAGAGCTAATGAGGAGGAAATATCTGCCGAGTAAAAATAATCACACGCATTTTTTTTTGTTTGTTTTATTTTGTTTTCCAAATAAGCTGAGTATCTGAGGCTGTCTGAGAACACACGGAAGTGACTCAGTAATATGCGAAAACAAAATCAAAAAGGTCAGGGAAGATGGGTTGAATGAAGAAAACACAGGAACTTTCTGTTATTTTTTTCTTATCAACGTGTGAAAAGTGTGTGTGTGTGTGTGTGTGTGTGTGTAATCTACTGTGATGCTCTTTCTTGATATTTTTATCATTTCACAGTAACTTTAATAACATTGACATTTAATTTACTGACATGTTCTTTTTGTATGTAAACCAACTAGATGACCATGATGTGTAAGTAGTGGTTAGTTGTTGTAATTACAAGCTGCACAAAAAGGTTATTTTAGGCCAAAAGGTAAGTGATAGCTGGCTATCACTTTACACATTACAGTGGATGAGCTGTATGTAGTCGGAGAATCTGCTACTGACAGCCAATGTGTGGCTGTATGGGATAGCATTTATTTTTTTTAAATATACACAATGATGACACACTTGCAATGACTTTTTTTTTTTTAAATCATTCTTGCTAACCGTTTTGCACATGTATACATAGATGTACACTTGTCTATATGATTCCAGACTTATATGTAGCTTCAAAGCAGCTCTTTAGGCATCCTAAATAATGATGTCGTGCTCTACAAAAGAAAAGTTAGGTGTAAATGTCCGTCCCACCTGAAGGTACCCTTTCCATCATCCTCCTTGATCTCAAGGCTGACAGTGAAGGTAAACAAGTCACTGTCAGGGGTGAGCGGAGCCGTCTGCTGAGATGACAGAACTGCCTTCTTAGCTGACCGCCGGAACGCTGTGGCAAAGCTATACAGTATCCTACTGACCTGAAGAGAGAGAGAGAGAGAGGAGGAGAGAAAGTGTTGAGCTCAAGTTATTTGTCAGGTAATATTGAATATCAAAAAGAGCACTTATTACTTACTTATTACAATACATCAACTTCATTTGGTGCAATACATTACCTCATTATTTCTGTTTTAATAGGAACTCTTGATCTTTATTGGCCTCTTTTCAGCAGGAGTAAAAATTACAACAGCAGGTGAAATTAATTTACAACACAACTCTCTTGTCCCAACATCAACCCCATAATTGCCTTAAGTTGTAGACACAAGTTAGTTACTTAACTAATTAGAGCAGAAATCCAAAAGAAAATATCCACTGAAGTGATAACATACAATATCGCAGGGCAAAATACTGTAGTGTTCATTTTTGGCTCCTGCAGCAGAAAGGTCATGTGGACCACAGAGTTTAGTTTCGTAAGCCAAAACTACCAGCACCAGGCAAAGTAATCAGTGAGTCATTAGTATTGATTAAAAACTCAATTCAGCCTCTGCAGAACTGTTATTGTCATCCTGTGATATGGGGCACTAGAAAGCTAACCTAATGACCCACTACTCTACTGACTGCAGACCCCCCAAACTATTAACCATTTTGAGTTTTAATCAAACATAATGATTCATATTTGCCTGTGAATCTGAGCATGGTGGTACTGTTTCTATTAACATCAAACACAGACCACTCACTCCTAGGAGACTGTGGGGTTCTGCTAAATCTCCAACTCCCAAAGAGGAGCAGAGTTGGGAGGTGGAGGCAGCTAGAGACTGCCAAGTGTGGAAAACTGGGTGGTAATGATTTATTTACGTTCACTAAACATACTTTTCCACTCATAAGACTTTAGATTTGGGAGCTTTGCATTAAGCCGAGAAAAAGTATTTTATTTTATTTTTCATTATTACGAAGCAGACATGTGTGTGTGATAATAAACAGAGCTCTGTCTCAAATCGAGGCCCATAGCACAGTGGTTTTGGATCATCTCTAATTCTGGTAAACAGTGGATCTTGGGGGTTAGTGACAGAGAGATGGTCTGGGGAAACTGCTGTTATCAATAAATAACAACGCTCCATTGCTTTTTTCAAAGCCAGAATATAAAGCAGCTTCAAACCTCTCCTGCACAAAGCTTTTGTTATGTTCCTGGTACAGTAGAAGGATGTTAGGAGATTGCGGGGGTTTTATTTATTCAGAAACAACGGGGGACTGGATGTAAGAGATGGGGGATGAGCAGAGGTAGATGGGGGTCACCCCCTGTATTGATGAAATGATGACATTTAACACAAAGGAATTGTTGTTCTGTGCTATTCCAATCAATGCTAGAGCCAAAACTGACCAGTTTCAAATGTCTACAAATGGCCTTTTTATTCCTTTTGTGTGACGGAAAGGAGGTCTATCAGTACGTAGACAGTTGCACTGCAAAAATATCAATCTGCACAAGTAATTTAAGCTGGTATTGAGGGTATTGAGTGCTTCTTTTATAAAAGAAGAAAGATTCTGCCATTCTGTTTTTTCTAATGTAGTTTTTTTCTTCAGGGAAACTGTCAATTACCCAGCACAAGACAAAACATGGCAGATCAATGCAACTAGAGACCAACAGTTGACTCAAAAACAGACAAAAGTTGTCAAACAATTGTATTTGGAAACAAGGAGAGTGTGAAAGTGTTAAAGAAATACAACTTTAGTTTTATGTTTGAACCTTTTCTCTTCAATGTTGGAGTTTTGTTCAAAGGCTCTGTCCCTTGTCATTTTTTTCATGCAAACATTTTAAAACATATCAAATGACCTACATACAAAATGTTTAAAGGTTACTGTTTTTACTCTCAAATCTCATGACATTTAATCTCATGAAGCATTTTGGATTTGTAATCAGAGTTAAAAAGCTGTAGCCTTTAAAGATCTGGAAATTGTTAAGTGTCCTATTACACTGCTTTTACTTTCCATCCTGGATATTCTTATTATTTCTTCCTTGGCAACATTGTCTTTATTTGCGTACTGACATGAGGCTTTGAGACATTTTCAACTGATGTCATGGTAACAATCTGTATCCATTTGCCACAGTCAAATTTGTGTTTGTCTCTCCAAACGTGTGATTTAATTTTAATAGGAGCCCAAATCGCTTCAGTGAAACAAATCTATTGAAGCCATACTGATTTGAATCTCACAGCACTAGATGTACATCTCTGGAAGGGAGAATTAAGTTTATGGGCAAAAGAAAAACGCTGGGTTTGAGAATTCACAGGGCTCTGCATCACCATCAACACCAAGTGACTGGGAATTGTTAGGAACTAGCCTTGGGGCCTGACTAGGAGGTCTGGCACTAAGAAGGACTGAGGAGGTGGTTTGCTTTATGTATGAACAGTTCTATTCAAAATTTACAAGTCTATTTAGGAAAGGAAATTACACCGAATCTCCAAAAAAAAAAAAAAATATGATTGCAAAATCTGAAAGTACTTACAATAATAATTTCAATAAAAAAAAGCTTGGTTGAAGTTGGTTGAAGGCTGAAGTTAATATCTCTTTCCAAATTGCAGTATTTGTGAAATTGGTAATAATCTCTTCACAATTTTCATTAAATAATTCAGTCACTTGCTTAAAGCAAATAAGACAGCTGTAGCTAATAAAACAGTAAACAGTTTTAGTCCAACTGTGAGGGACTGCCACAAGGTTATATCAATATTGATTTGGAAAGTTTGTGTGGGTATGCAATCAGAAAATTATTTTTAAAAAGATGAAACTTTGTCAGAAGATGTGTATCTCTAAGGTAAGGCTACAGTGTCCAAAAAAACTGATTTCCAAATAAATAAGTAAAAACACCTTTGTGGATAAATGCAGTTGTTTAAGAGGTCTTGGGAGTTGTTTACAGAGGATTTGAGGCTGATGTGAGGCATATGACTGGAGCACTTTTTTCCTGAAGGAGGAGACAAACCAATGGGCTGACTCACTGCAGTCTAATAGTGCGAATGAGAGACCACAAGAAAGCTTGAAGCAGTGTAGATAGGTTTAGTTGCTGGGGGACTGGAAGGAAGAGAGGGGTGTGTGCAAGAGGAAGACTGTGAGGAGAATGGAAGAAGGAAGAGAGAGCTGGAGACAGAGATGTCCGGTTGCTGGATAAAGAGTTGAATTACTATGCACTAATGCATATTCACACAATTACTATTGCATTAGTGTTTTTGTGTGAGCATATGTGTTACGGGTGGGTGTCTGGGAAACTGATAAAGTGGCGTCTGTCTGGGGGCTGTTCGTGACATTGAAGGAGAGAGCTTCCATGAGGGAGAAATCAGGTCACTGAACATTGAAGCAGCACTTTAACCCAGTTTCATGAGTGGATTCCCTTTTCTCTTCTTTTATATTTTCTGGTGGACCTACTGTATATAAGCAATGACACTTCCTCTTTCCTATAAGTTGGCTAGGGGGATTGTGTGTACTTTGTGTATGGTGTTCATGTGCATTGCAGTGCATGACTTAATCCCTTGGGGACCAGTGAGGAACCTCCAACACTGACACTGAACCTTGAGGGACCAGCTACAGGGAGATCAACGATGTAAGGCAAGGTCAACCAGAATACTGCTGGCCATATGAGTGTGTACACAAGTGTATGTATGTGACTAGACGAGACAGAAAAAGTGTGAAAAAGAGAGATGAGAGTGTGCAAGAGAGCAGAGCATTTATAAGAGGAGCTTTTGCTCCCCCTCTGGTTCTCTATCTGAATAGCAGCAACATTGCTTGTATCTGTTTTTTTTCAGTATGTGTGAGTTCGTGTTAAATGTGTATTCAGCAAACACAGTTACACATAAGTTAAAACAACAATCAATTATTGAATCCTCACCGCTTCTTGGATTTGGCAGCGGAACACGTGGATCCTGAAGATCTCAGCATTGTAGTGGCTCTCGGTGAAGGCAAAGCAGTCGCTCTCTGGCGTGCCATCATGACCCCGCACACAGAACAGAATCTTGTAGATAGGGTAGTTGGCAATCTCCGTACTGTTGTGGGGGTCCAACAACCTAACCAAAATATCAATAAACATGTTGCTATGTCTTAAAAGTCGCTACGGCAACAGTTATTTTTGTTATGTGTACTGTGCGTATGACGTGAGCATTTGAGTTCAAGTATGTGCAGAGGATGGAATAAATTGCATTCATAGTGCTGAGCCAGATCCAGTAGTAGAGTGACATTTAATTCAATCAGATTTTCATATTCTGGTATTTGAGTATTTTCATGTTATATCATTTCTCATGCTATAATGTTATTGTTGATTGCAGCTGCTGGAGCACAGTAATATTATGTTTTCTCACATCTTTTGTTAATGTCGACCTAACATCAGCAGTTCTAAGAGGGAGCGTGAAGCTGTTGAGATACATAAAGGGCCACATCGAGTCCTTCCAGTCAGTACACACATGAGCTGAAGAAAGTTTGTGTCCGTCATCTTTCATACACATATCCCCCCTTTGAGGTATGAGTGCCATCATGTTAACGGTTCATTTTGTGAGTGAGTTAGATGAATGTGTATAATTACTCAGTGTTTTACAGAATAATGAAGTAAATTATCTGACAAAGATTAAGCTAGTCACCTTAAGCTAACCCCTTGCAATGCTAACTACACTATCATATATTTATGTAGGTATGGAAACAGCCTTGTGGCATGTGTTGTAGCATGTAACCTATTTTGCAGTTGCATCTTTCATACAAATACCCCCCTTTTCAGGCCTTGTACATATGCATATTCCATACACAAATACCTGTGCTGTAAAACTGGAGCTGATAATTCATGTTAAACTATTTCTCCTTATGTTCTCCTTACCTGACAGTGCCTTCAGACACGCCTGGCACGGACAGTGTGACATCCAGGGGGAGCTGGCACTGCCCTCTGAGGATACTCATCATACGAAGGGCCTCCACCTCACTGCGGGGGGCGTTGACTGACGCACATCCCAGATATGTCAGCTGGCTGAACACAACGCTGTCCTCATCTGGAATGGGACTGCTAGGACTGCCCTCTGATGATGATTCATCTGCTGCAAAGTGGCAATGAAGAAAAGAAAAGAAAATAATTATTTTATGACTTCTATACTCCTTTTATCGTTGTACATCAACAATATTGTCCTCGTCTGAGATAAGTTCACTTGGCTAAGAAGTAAGAATAGAATATGGTATTTAGGAGGATAGGTGAGAGGGACAACAGTCATATCAATTCTAGAAATTCATGCAGCAAATGAATAAAGCGGACAAAGTAAATGAGAAGAAATCGCAAAAGTCCTCTGCTACAAGGTTAAAAAATGAATGAAGGGTCTGGGAGTACTAACTGTATATGATTTAAAAACCTGGGTGCTTCTGTGATATTACTCTAAACGTCTTCATTAAAATTATATATAAATCTGAAGATAAAAGCCATTTGTGTGAGCTTTGTCAGACACGAGAAAAGAGGATAAGAAAAGTCCCATCATGGCTCACCTCGGTACGACCTCTCATTCAGCTCACTCTCCTGAGCCGTCTGAACAGGAAGCACCATTTCCAACTTGGGCGGGGGTGAGCTCAGAGGGTCAGAACCTGGCAGTACAGGTGACGCTGTAGTGGGAAGGAGGCCACGGTCGCCCCCACCAAGACTGTCCATCCCTGTTTCCGGTCCCAGCCCAGTGTCAGCTACCGATGGGTCCATGAGGACATCCTCTAACTCCCTCTGGAGCTGCTGCTCACTTCCATTCCCCACAATCTGACACACACACACACACGCACGCACGCACACGCACGCACGCACACGCACACACACAAGGGGTAGAAACACACATACACATAGACATGCACACAACCACACCAAAGAACAGGGACAAAAGGGGGCACAGAAAGCAACATATTTAAAACAAAACACATGTAATAAAACACAAGAACACATATTGTTACACAAAATGATCGTAGTAATCATCATAACGAATCAACTTTAAGATAATCCTGAGGCCTACAGCAACCATTTCTCTTGCAGTTTTTAGGAAAGTGCAGTGGCTCTGCCTTCAACAGTGATCTTGTAAGTAATTTAAAGTGAGTGTGGTGAAAGATGCCCTGTTTCATGTTGGCACTCAGAGATATATCTTGATTACATGTCATCTTATATTAGTGATTAGTGGGTAAGTGTGTTTGAGTTGTGAAATAAGTGCATCCAGAAATCAGAAGAGCCGTGCTAACACTTACTGTATGTGAGCTTATTCTAGCAGATAGTAAATAAAGTGCAAAGTTTAAGGCCGGGCAAACCATCAAGTGCCACAAAACACATTTCCCTGCTTTCTAAGGCTGCAGCCTGATGTTAGGTAAGAAATGGAGAGCAGATTTAAACTGCAGAGGGCACTGCTGCACTGAGTAAAAAGGGGATGACAAAGGCAATTAAGAATAGAGAATCTGATTTTTCACTTTCTGTGGTGCATGTGATTATTTTACTGTCGAATATCCTGGCTAGGCTAAATGTGGTCATTTGTTCAGTGCTGTTAAGACTCTAGAGCAGAGTGTAAACTACTACTATGATGTCCGTGTCAATACACCTAAAAAAAAACTTAATGTAAAGCAGCTATCAATTCTATATTTAGGTTCACACATCTGACAGACACACGTCTAACTGCGTCACTACGCAACTGTGGTGGGGCTTGTGATTTACAGGTAGTGCTAAAAACCTTGGCAGCTGTCACATACAACTTCAGTCCTACATGTAAGAACATCTATCACTAACCATCATCAAAACTAAACTGTTGAAAAAGCTGGCTAGGGCCATCACTCAACATCTGGTAAAAAAATACAGGGAGCACAAATAATCACAGACAGAATCACCACGGAATCACATCACAAAAAGAGAGAGGAAGAAAGAGATACACAAGCAAGAGCTATAAAGAGAAGAGTTGGAAAGGAAACATAGCGAGAGAAGAGACTGACCTTAAAGCTGACCCCTTCCTCAGAAATCACCTGCATAACAAACAACAAGTTTAGACACACTGACTCCTCTCTGACTGGATGGGCTGACTGGGAGGGAAATGTGCACAAGAGTGTGTTGGCGAAAACCAAAAACATGATATCTGGATGACTGAGTGTCAGTGAATGGAGTGATTTCACCACTACATACTGAGAACAGAGGATGTGTGCCGAGTACTGCTTCTCTTCCCTCTGACAGCAAGCACACAGCGGCAACTAGGCATCACAAAACTGACCTCAACTGTGTTGTCCATCAAAATAACCGCAGTCTGTTAAGAGACTATGTACTCATGTAATGTGCAAATTCATGCTCTCTTATCTCCAAGCATTGCACATTACAGACACAAGTGTGACTTCTTCTTATCAGCTGAATATGCAACATCCATGCTCTGCTGGCGCCATCTTCTGGTACCTTTACAAACACCAAGTCCACAATTCTTTCCTTTACAAAGAAACATAGGTATAGTAATGACTAATGGACAGAGTATGAACATGCGAGGCAGCTACTTCAATCAAAGGAAATGTGATTACTAGTACACTGAAAGACACAACACACAGAGAGCAGAGGAGAGGAGAGGAGAGGAGAGGAGAGGAGAGGAGAGGAAGTAACCTGAACCCATTAGGGACACACACAGGATGGTGGCTGGTAGCTACATTTCTTTCCTCAGAAAGTCTTCTTTCTCTTTGCGGAGAGACACACCCTGGTCACAAAACACCATTATTTTCCCTGACAATGAGTTCAAAGCACTTGCTGCTGCATCACCATGCGCCACACTGTTTGTAAACTAATATCTGCTGAGTGAGTGCCAACTGTAGCACTGAACTGAGTCACAGAGGGCATACTGTATATCGGACATACTGTAGTATAATAGCACATGCTGTACATTAGCAGAAGCGGCTGATTGACTGCAGATGGGGAATTTGTTTTTGTAGTACTGAACTTGCTTGACACTGAAAGACAAATTGGTAAAATATCAGCTGACTTGCCTTACACGTTCAGCTCGCACAAAACAATGCACAAGGGATAGTGTTTTCTTCAGTCGTTTTAATTGTGTATGCATCGATGATCCCTTTTTTTTCACTACCGCATACCAATTAAATAATACAGACAATACAGTGGAAGAACTAGAAAAACAAATGTAATTCGTCACAGGTTTGAGGAATAAGAACAAGTTCTTCACTTCAAACAGAGCCTATGAAAATGCTCTCAGTTTTTAGGGATGTGCATATAACAAGGATTTAAGGACTTCCTTACCATAAGTAGCAAATGGAGAAATATACACAGATAAAACACACAGATCTAAGACAAACTAAAGGGGGTAGAGTGAGAATGTGGAAAAAGCAAAAAAAGAAATGGTTAGCCTTATGGTTAGAGTGTGAGACTGCATGTTTGAGACGATGGACGAGCGCTTTTGACAAGTGAGTGATGAGCACAACCTGGTAACGATGTAATCTGTATGAACTATGACCCTAACCTGCCATTTAAACAAGAAATACAACTGTTGACAAATAGGTAAAGATGACATGAACATCAAGATGTTTTGGAAAATCATGCCCTGGGTTCTGAGATACACTCTTAAAACTGTTTTCACACTGCAGCAGCGTCTGGCCTGTTATCCTACTGGTGTTTTGAAAATAATTATAGCTTTACAGTAACTGTCATTTCTCTTGTGTACTCAAGAGCAGATTGTGACTATTTTAGTATTAACCATACTCATGGTATTCACAGAAAGAAGCACCTGAGAAGTGGATGTATGCCATGAGGCCACTGTAAATATCAACAGACCAGTGATCTAGTGTACTCAGGACCTAAACTTTAATTAGACGAGTACAGCTCTGAAGTCACCCTTCTCTCCTTTGTACTTCTGTCCATACCTACACCCAACCATCCTTACCTTCAGTCCTGTCTTTTCGTCATCACTACCATTATTAGTGGAGGAGGGTGTCTCGTCCCCCAGCCGGGACACAAGGACAAAGTCCTCACTGTTGAGAGTGGACACTGAGTCCGAAGACACGCTAATCTTCCCCACCGAGCCCTTGTCATCCATGGCTGCCGCTGTTAAACTCAGCCACGCTGCTCATGAATGGAAGACGGGAGGAGGAAGTGGTGGGAGATGATGAGCAAAATCACCTAGAGAAAGAAAAAAAAAAAAAGAAAGAAAAAAAGCAGAAAACAGTCATGAGGTGATGAAAACCATGAAAAGCATCTTTTAAGACGACTGGAAACTTGGCTATTTGGACACTAACCCTCTAAAAATGGTGAAACCTTTCATTCTTGACTTTTAGAGGTCTTTTTAACAGCTTAAGGAAATTTTGTGGCAGCTTTACAAAACTCAAAGAGAGGGAGCATAAAGAGAGAGATAGATGGTGCAAAAGAAATGTTAAGTAAAAAAGCATAGTTCAAGTAAAAGAGACAGACAAGAGAGCAGGCTAGAATGAAGAAAAAAAAGGATCTGTGGGCCATTTAGAGCAGTTTTGTCAATCTCAGCAGAATAGAGAAGAGGTATTTGCAAAATAGCTTGATGTAATGCAAAGCCATGGTGATACAAGTGTCATTCAGAGAAAGAAACATGCACATGAAAGTGAGGGATTAAAGGAACAGGCCAGCTTGCTACAACCATCCATCTATCCCATGTCAGTAATGTTCCTTACAAAGATTCAGTTGTGGTCCCCTACCACCCCATTTGACATGTACACCAGAAATATATTACCTAAACACACAAAAAAAGATGTACTGAATGTGATAATTGCATTGTGTACACTCCTCAGTTCATGGCGGTTCTCGCAGGCCTGCCAACACAACCACAAACAACCTAAACTGAGATCCTGTGGGGAACACTACACATCATCAGCTCATCCCTCACTTTGCCTTTCACTGCAGCTCCCTTCAGCCATCAAATATGGCAACGTGTAACTAATGAGGAGACGTTTCTAGATCTGACCAAAGCACAAATTCTCAAAAATCATATGAGATTTTCACTTTTTGCCATCAGTGGAAAAGTCAAAAAAATCACTTCAATATCGAAACGATCATTTAGTCTCCAAGTTTAGGTATAGCAATAGGAGGTAGAATTAAGGTAAGATTTAGTTTTACAAGCAAAATGAGGAAAAGCTCCATCTTTGCAGTTATGTTATGAGGTGGGGGGTGCCATTGTGTGTAACACAGGAAGAAAGGCTCAACAGAAGGTTCTGGCAGAGGTTCAAGAAGAGACCATAACAAGCTATTTCTGGCAGTTCCCCCTCTCAGCTCCTTCCTTTCACTCTCTCCCATCCCTCTCCCTTTCACTACTCCCTTTTCTTTATCTCTCCTCCTCCAATCTTCTATTTTTCTCAGCCCTTATTGCTCTCCTCTATTCTCCTCTACCCTTGCCCTCCTCCATTTTTCTAAAGGTTTCAGTTGCTGTTTCTTGCACTTTACTCTCTTGTCAAACCCCCACCCTTCCTATTCAAAGCAGGTCCAACAATGGAGAAATATTAAGAAAAAAGAACTGCAGAGGAAAGGTCAAAGCAGTTCATATTGTGAATTACTTATGATAACATTGTTATACTGACCCCAACTAACACTCAATATGAGTAGCCATCTCTGTGTGACAAGAAGGTTTTACAACTGCTTCTTCTGATATGAACGTTATTATTAGGCTTCCAATATAAATTGAGTAATATAAACTGACAGCTTAGGCTTGCACTCTTTATCTTTTCAAAGCAAACTGAAGAAATGAGCGACTCTTATTCATCCAAAAGTCCTGGGTGTTGTCTTTCACTTGTATTGCAAAACTGAAGTTGAAAGACAGGGTTACAGGGTAAAATGATTTGTCATGTCCACTTACTCTGAAACATAGAGAGTGTCAGTTTGAGCAGAAAACTGTCACTCTGTAACCTCTGAAACCTGTGTGTAGTAATGAGAATGTAGATTACCACACTCTGCTGATCTTTGCACCAAGTGTAAGTCCTATAACTTGAAGGTAAGGTTCACACTTATGGTTTGGCTCACTTGGCCAACACCTAGAAAAAAAGATAGATTGTTGCCTTTTAGGTGTTGTTGTTGTTATTACAAACAACCCAAGGAGTAATGATGAAGCCATATGGACTGGTAGGTAAGTCACTCATTGTTTCAGTGACTGTCATCTTGCATCATCGATGAAAGACGAAGAGCTATGTGAGTGACAGCAAGTCATGCAGCACCTACTGGCTTACCTCATGTACCACAGGTAGCATGTTTCACTTGCCTCGTATTAAGGAACTGCAACAATTCACAGAGCACACAAGCTCATCACACCTCTGTTTTACCTCCTTTTCACTTCCTAATGTCATCGGAAAATCCCAGCAATTCACATGTATGCATTAAGTTTACCAAATGATCTTACATAAATACATGCATCTCATACAGATCGAGTGATCACTTTCATGAGTTTACAATCAGAAGATGGATTTCATGTTGAATTTATACTAAAGATCACATATATATTATCATCAAATCTTATGGTTTGCACTCACACCACAAACAAACTGAACCAGAGTCTGACTAGTAAACAACCACGCTTGAAAAGGTGGATCTCGGTCCCGCTTGGTCCACACCAGTGTTAATTTTACAGCTTTCAAATAAGCATAAATGTACAGAAGCAAACTTTAAATTGTATTAGATCTCTTTGAACAGGTTAACAGTTAACCTAATGGGTTAGTCGTGAAGCCACGTACAACATAGAGACAAAATATTATAAACATAGGAAAGAAGTGAATAGGTTCACTGCTCCCATTGGGGATTTAGATTTTTTAGACTGGCAATGATCTTAATTGAATGGGAAATGTATAATTATAATAATACGATAAATAATAACAAATAAATATAATAATAAATAAATAAGCTACATTAATAAAGATAATATTTCATCATGGTCCACTGGCCATACTACATAGGAGAACATTTTTATTAGATAGAAGATATGGTTGGACTTATGATATAGGCCTAGCTCTGCAATGATTCATCATCTACCTTGCCAAAATAACACTTTCAGTCAGCAATGACAACTCACCTTAAAGCCCCTTCACACCCACAGTCTACCAACACAGGTGTTTGTACTGAAGTTGTATGATTAGACCTCTTCTTAGGACTGTGCTCAATTGACAGTTTCTTTACTCTCCCAATAGCTCAATTGAGCTTGTTAGGGAGCTTCAATTTACATTGTTATCATTGTTATTACTTAATATAGTTTAGTGACATCATGTAATAACTGTAATACAGTGTAATAAGTTCCATGTTACCAAACATTATAGAACTGTACCTTAAGATCTGAGAAATACAAATCAATATTGTACTCTTCCATTCTAGACCTCTAACGTTACATGTTACTTAACATCACAGAACATTGATGTGAAATTTTACAATTGTTATCTTACATTCTGGAACTGTCGCAGGTCACACGTAAAATTCTAGAATGTTACATTTTCAATATTCTCAGAGTACATTCTAGAATTGTAACTTTGAAAGTCCCATATGAAACACAATTCTGTAACTCTAACTTAACATTTTACAATTTCAACTCAAAATTCTACAATGGTAAACATTCTACTATACTGTAATAGTGATGACACCATACCAGAAATTTGTTAGTTGACACCAATACCAATGAAATTCCACAATTCTCAATACAGTGCCTTATTGTCTGGGTACCAAAGTATCAGTTCTCTCCAGATCCATATGCTGTAACATTCTACAATCAAAATGTCGCATTCTAGAAATGTAATGGGTCATAGTTATTGTTCTAGAATGTTACAGTTCCAACATTCTAGCACTATAACTTGACATTCTACAATTATAACTTTGAAAGCAACATTTCTAGAACTTTATCCTAATATTATAGAGCTGAATCTTTGAAACTACCAGGTCATTTAAAATTTCAGGTCAAAGGTAGTTTTTTAGGAGTGTAACGTAACATTCTAAAAGTTGAAACTTCCACGTCACTAGACATTCTCAAAACATTCTGGATCTGTAACTTTGAAGGTCCATACTCACTTAACATTCATGAACTATGCTGTATCATGTAATTCCCAGCATAGCTCCTCCCAGCTTTAGCCTGACAACAGGTCTAATCAGGAAGAGAAACACCTGTGTAGATGTGCAGGGCCTTTAACCTGCAGCAGATTTCCCCCTTGGGCCAATTCCATTATCTGCAAGGATCTTTCATCTACCAACTGTCAAATATTTCTTCGTACAGATAAAATACAAATTGTAACGAACAGCAGAAAGGCATAGTAAACCTCAGTCCATAAAAAAAGAGCATCTCACTCTTTAGCAATCCAAAATCTGCATCACTCCTCAGTCCTTATTTTCACAGGCTTTTAATCTTGAGGAGACTTTGCAGATGTTTACTCTACTTTTGGCTCAAAGGCACCAGCTTTCCATTTTTAGCACACTTGTAATCTGAGTGATTAATCTAGTTCTTTTTCCTCAGATTTTTTCACTTGATGAACTTTTGAGTTTCTTGAGTTTCTTTCTGGTCTTTTGTTTGTCAATTTTGCAGTAGTGGCTGCTGCTGATAAGGCATATTCCTAAAATCTTATAAACAGTCTTAGAACACATCAAACAACAAATTAATCAACAAAATAATTGAAACTGCAATGCCTGAGCCTCTTTCAGTCCTTTACATTCTGTGGCATCCCATAAAGCCTCCTGATGGCAACTTTTTACATGCATAGGTAAAAGATTTGAATAGTCGTATCTGATGCTGCTAAGTCCTCATACTTTAACTGTGACATTAATAACTAACCAACCCTATGAGAAATACCTATAAATATCAGTAAAGTATTATGTTTGGTTAGAAAAGAAATTAAACTGTGGCCAATTCGTTTCTTGGGCCACCATAAACCTTAAAGCAGATTACTGCTTTGTAACCCTTGAGTCAATCATTTCACTAGAGAGCAATCTAAAGCTGAGCTGAGACTCCACAACTTGTGATGTTATCTGAGAGAGATGGCAATTAGCTTCACTAACTCATTCATGTTTTAATTCACAAACACTGAAAACCCTATCAACCTTTGCAGTTGAGCGTACACCCACACATGCATACATAAACAGATAAAAAGTAGTTTTATGCTGGATCACACACACAAGTAGCTGTATTATGAACACAAGTA